AGGCAAATCCCTGCATTCAACCCAAATGGGGGTAACTCTCTGGCAAGAATACTACCCCTTTTCCCCCTCTCCCTCATCCCCACAAAAAGGAAAATTACCAAATTTCTCTTTACTGATGGTCTGCTAAATGAGGAGTGATATGCTCAATTTGCACATGTGCTTGTCTGTTCCTCCTTTATAGAATTTTAAAAAGCAGGCTGTAGCAGGTTGGCTCATTGTCCTTATAAAACTACCTGTGGCTGGCTTGGTGTGCTTGAATCACCCACTGTGTCTGATCAGGATGGCAAATAAATGTGTGCTAGTGCTCCACTGAAGCCAGCATTTCAGCTTTGGAAGGCCAAAGGCAACTAGGGCTTGAGTTCCCATAGCTCAAGGGGGAGGCCTGATATCTTTCTACCATGCTGGGAAGTTGGTAAACAATATTCCCTGCTACTTTCACTCATTACCGCTGGAGTCTAGCACTGTGATATTGTGCTACAATGAAGCACACTTTTGAAATAAACTGCATGTTGTGTGCTCATGTACTGTATAAGCTTCCATACAATCAAAACATCCTGTCATAGCCACAGGGCCACCTCTCTCTCACTGCAGAAATTTGGACCTGATCCAAGTTAAGTCCATAGTAAAATGTCGATTGATCTCTATGGCAGCATCAGCTGACACACTCTTGGCAAGTCTTTAAGCCTTCTCATTAGTGTTGCATTTGCTCTGAAACATGCTGTAATAAACAACAGTCAGTTGAATTTTCCCTAATTGTGTGAAAAGACTGCACAAATAAATTAATGGAACTGCCCTATTTGCATGCTTGCATGGAAGTTAGAGGAGGGCTTCTGGCAAGGATCAAAAGGTATGCAACAGTGAAGGTTTGAGTAAGAAATTGATTTAACAATTAATTTGTGTGTCCATGTTGCTATGAGGATAGAATGGTCTAGTGTAGTGTTTTTCAACCTTTTTTGATATCAGGGATTGGCTTGCTGCCTTCATAAACTGTGTCAGGGAGATCCATGGACCTGCTGTTGAGAAACAGTGGTCTAGGGCTCAGTCAGAACAGAGGACTGGGATGCAAGAACTGAATTTTAATTCTTTTTTGCCTCTGCTGTAATCTTGGGCAAATTGTTTAATTTCTAGTAGCTTTCCTATCTATAAAATGGGGATGATAAGGGATTTGGTGAGGAGTAGTTTAATGTTTGAAGACTAAAATTGTTATGGATGATAACTCATAACTCTGTGTTAATCAGGTTGTCTCCCGTGTAAGACACTACTGCCTCCTTTTGCTTCTGTGGTGAAGTCCTAGTCCTGTATTTACATTACCAGCCTCTTGGGATGGAAATGCATTTTACAAATAGTATGTAGGTGTAGTCAATGTCTTTTTAAAAATGCAGATAGCTGTGCTTATATGCAAATAAAAGGAATTAGCCCCTCTTTAGACAACAATTACCAAAAGCCAACACTGAATTATTTACTGAAGTTATGAAATAGACTAAACCCAGTGCTTCTCAAAGTCGGTCCGCTGCTTGTTCAGGGAAAGCCCCTAGCGGGCTGGGATGGTTTGTTTACCTGCCGCATCCGCAGGTTCGACCGATTGCGGTTCCCACTGGCTGCAGTTTGCCACGCCAGGCCAATGGGGGCTGCAGGAAGGGCAGACAGCACATCCCTTAGCCTGTGCCGCTTCCCGCAGCCCCCATTGGCCTGGAGCGGTGAACCCCGGCCAGTGGGAGCCGTGATCGGCCGAACCCGCAGACATGGCAGGTAAACAAAGCGGCCGGGACTGCCAGGGGCTTTCCCTGAACAAGCGGTGGCCCGAACTTTGAGAAGCACTGGACTAAACCATCCCTGAGAGGGATTTTGTCACTCCCCCCCTCCCATCCTTGCCAACCTAGGTTGGGTGAAAGTTCACACTAAACGGTAATTTTAGTTTTCTAAACTAACCAGTCACCTAATCTGGCTCATAAAATAAGAGAAGGATGCTTAAACTAGTGAAAAATTAATGGGCCTAAGTAGCAGACTTCCTGAGTTCTGTACCCGGACCGTGCCTCTTGCTCTGGGCTTGAGCAAATCATCTGACGCAGTAGCTCTTAACCTTTCCAGACTACTGTCCCCTTTTCAGGAGTCTGATTTGTCTTATGAACCCCCAAGTTCACCTCACTTCAAAATTATTTGCTTACAAAACCAGACATAAAAATACACACTATTACAGAAACAACACACCCACCGAGCACACTGTCACAGAAAAATTGCTTACTTTCTCATTTTCACCATCTAATTATAAACTAAATCAATTGGAATATAAATACTGTACTTTCATTTCAGTGTATAGTCTCGAGCGAGGTATAAACAAGTCACTGTATGAAATTTTAGTTTGCACCGATTCGCTAGTGCTTTTGATGTAGCCTGTTGTAAAACTAGGCCAAAGGCTAGATGCGGTGATGTATCCCCTAGAAGGCCCCCAGTACCCCTGGTTGAGAACCAGTGCTACAGCCGATCGGCCTCCCTTTCTCCATCTGTAAGGTGCGAGTAACCCTCCCGCGTTACTGGTCTGTCTATGAGGATTAGTTATGGCATGTTTGCAAAGCGGGGGTGATGGAAAAACACTCGCCTCCCTGCTAAACGTTGAACACAACCGCTACAGGCCAGCCCAGGACCAGAGGCTACAGCCACCCTAGGCCACGGCTGGACCAACAGGCCCGGAGTGGCTGTGAAGGGCGGGGACAGTCTGCCACCTGTTGGCGGGCATCCGGCTAAGGTGAGAGGAGCTGCGGGATGCAGGCGGTGGGAGGGCGGGGCCAGAGTACCTCGGGCGCTCGCGGGAGGGATGCGATAGGGCATTCGCACGCACAGCGGCCGTGATGGGCAGTGACTGACCCGCGTGTCTTGGCTGAAGTCTGTAGACCCTACGGATCCTTTGCCCGAACCCAAGATGGCGGCCGAGGCCTCGCTGCCCAGGCCCAAGATGGCGCTTTCAGCTCTGGGTCTGCAGCTTTGACCCCGGTAGCGGAAGCGAGTGAGGAGCCGGCCGGAAGCGGTGGTTGTCAGTGGAGACGCAGGCCGGCTGGGCTCGTTCTTTCTCCCGCCCGAGGATGCGGGCTCTCTCCTCTCCCGGGTGGAGACTCCGGCATCTGCTCTGGGTGACCTGGCTGAGCGGGAGCCTCCTGGCAGGTGAGGACACGGGGGAGAGGCCACGTAGCGGGCCGGCCCGAGGGAACCAGGCTGATCCGCCAGCCCTGCTCGCTCTTGCTCCCCTTCGCCACCGTCCTGTGTGTGTTGGGGGGGGAGGTGTCTTTGTCTCCACCATTCCCGGGGCTGACCCAGGTTTTAGGGTCACGGTGCTGGTACCAGCCCTCTCCCACTGCTCTGTGCCGGGTAGGAGGGTCGCACAGCCGGCCCCAGGCTGGCTCCCTTCTTGCCTGCTCCTCTAAACTGCACCATGGCCCTCTTGAGTAAAGGGGTAGGAGGAGGGGACGGGACACGTTCATCTTCCAGCTGCCCTCTGCTTGGATGTAGGGGCTCGTCTGTGTGGGGCTCTTCCCTGCTGTCAGGCAGGACTCTGCAGGTGTCAAAAGTAATAGAACTCTAAGAGCAGGAGATATTGGCCGTGGTGGTTATCGCTGTGTTCTCCTCCCCCTGACCCTCACTTCCATGAAAACTGCTGATCCCTTAAAAAAAAAAAGTAGCCTGAAAGAAGCTAAAGCTACAACTGAACGCAGGTGCTAAATATTGTTACTTTTATAGGAGCAGCAGCAGAGGAAAATGCTGACCCACTGTCTGAAACTGTCCTACCTCTTAGCACAGAAGGTGGTTCTGCCCTTACTGGAGAGCCTCAGGCGCCAGTGCAGTACAAGACTGCAGAAATTGCTGATGCAATGCTGGGTAGTGGGATTCCTGCTGATCAGTCTGTGGTGCTGTCAGTTATTCCAGGAGAAGCAAAGGACAAACGCATGTCTGAATTCGGTATTGGCACCTGCGATGCAGCAGTAGAAGATGCTGAATGTAGTGTGGGGACTAGCCTTGCTTCTCACTTATCACAGCCTGGTTCACATGTTCAAGAACAAGCAGGGGACACTAATGTAGTGCTAGAGGCTATTCCTGCTTCACCAGCTGAGGAATCTAATAGCACAGACAGTGTAAAAACTCCCAAAGTGAACTGTGAGGAAAGAAATATTACCGGGATCAGAAACTTCACGCTACAAATCCTGAATGTTTCGCAAGTAAGTAGGAAATCATTCTGTTTGCTACTTTCTATGTTTATCGTGATACCTGGGTAGGTGTTACACAAATATATGTAGCATTTGGGTAAAAACTCTATAATCCTTCCAGTATTTGCCCTTGTGAGTTTAGTAGCACAAAAAGGATAACTTAAAACAAGTGTTTAGTGTGCTGGTGGGAGGGGAGTTAGCATACAGGGCAATGCACTTTCCATATTGTTTTGAAATACAGAAATAGTAAGATATTCAATTCCACTATGTACCATGCCTATGTTCCCCAAGTCTGAAGGGTCTCACGGAACCCATCGTGACTTGTGCCAGCTTCTCTGCAGCGCTTTTTTCTTTAGACCAATTTCCTTCCGCAGGAATGCTTTGCAGCACTTGTTTCCACTAAATTCTAATTTAGGTGGCTTTACTTAAAGAGAGGGTAGAAAATGAAATAAAAAAAAAACAGATTTCAGATAAATACTACTATGAATAACAGCTGGTAGGAAAATGGAAACTTTTCAAAAATTTTAGTTGAAATTTCATTTTTGACATTTCTGACCAGCTCTACTAAGTATGGAAAATAATTGAGACACCTTAAAAATCCTTCAACTGGCCCATAGTTTAAAAAGCAGCTTGTCTTGTTAGAATCTCAGTAAGGCATTCTTGTTCCCAGGAGGCTACAGCAAGTCTCTCTCCCCTTTGTTAGCTCCCAGCTTTGTCTTAAAGACTGGTTTAAGTATTTGAGATATTACATCACCCCAGACCAAACTATAGGGTAGCAGAACCAGTTTGAGTCTGGTTCATACAATAGAGGTTTCTCTCTGTTCCCCCAAATGCTGGGGAAATAAAGAGAGTCAGAAGGGAGCATGGGCCTGGGCACAGTTTATTTGAATAAGTTTAGCTTACCAGGTCCTTGCTTGCCTTCCTTCCTACCCTTCCACAAACCATCCTTGCCTGTGATTCCCTAGCCTGATCAGTTCTCTGTCCTGTGACTTAAGTAACTTCCTTTCATATCCTTGTTCATCTCCCGCTTTCTCTTCTGGCCCTTCACTTGTCTTGTTTTTGGAACAGCTCCACTACCCTTTTATCCCACAAATTAGCTTCTTGGCCCTGTTAAAGCTTGGAATTCCTGTATTAGAGAAGAAATGAAGTGGTGGATCTCCTAACTTTCCCTTCAGAGCTGTCAGGCCCACTTCCTGGTGAACAGGATTCAGCTCCTACATTACACATCAGCAGCCAGGGAGTAAGGCCTCTTAGGTAAGGGAGGAAAGAATGAAAAAATGCCTTTTTTATTTAGCAATAATCCCCTAAGTATTATTTGTCTACCAAGGAGATTTTTACATTTGAAAAATGCAGTTAGGATTAAAATCAGTCTGACTAAATTTTGTTTGTTGAATGTTTATGTACTGTTGAAATACTGCTAAAAACAGACTTCTGACTGAAATGCCAACTCAAATTTGCTTATGATGGTACTACAGTATTCTCCTGAAATTAATCTGTTACCAAAGTATTATGCAATGATATGTAATAGAACCCTTTTAAATATTTTATTGGCCCCTCCTTTTTAAATCAGCATGTTTTCTTTCACAGGACCTGATGGAGTTTTTAAACCCAAACAGCAGTGACTGTACATTAGTCTTGTTTTATACACCCTGGTGTCGCTTCTCTGCCAATCTGGCCCCACATTTTAATTCTTTGCCCCGAGCATTTCCAACTCTAAACTTCCTGGCATTGGATGCATCTCAGCATAGCAGGTAACTTGCAATAAATACACTTCACCTTATAAAGCTTCACATGCTACAGTATTAGCACTTTGTTTCTGATTCTGACAAACCTTATGCTTTTAAAATGTATTGATGGAGTAATATGTACTCCCTGAGTAAATTAGAGTTCTCTGCCCCTCTGACTCTGCCTTTACTTCCTTTAGCTTTTCTTCAGGCAATTTTCTCCCTCATTCATCTTTTGATAATGAAGTTAATATTTTCTTAAATGTTCACATGAACATCTTGCTCTTCAAGATGAGGGATTAATAGCACTGGCTAAAATTTGACCTAGTGTAGATTGATACTGGGCTCTGCTAATTCATCTAAATCTTGACATGCAAATTCATTTCCGGGTTTCTTCTGAGCAGAGACTGTAAAATATGCCACATCCATTTCTCTGACCACTTCACAGTACATCCTCAAAGGACAAGAACAAGACCCTTGTGCCCTAAGACAGGATTGAAACGTGGGTCTCCAAAATGAAAGTTAATGCACTAACCCACTGCAGAATTTTGTATTACCTAAATTCACTAGTGAAACATTCCCTAATGCCATAAGAAAATAGTTGTGCCCTTGTTCTTGTTATTGAGTTAAATTAAATGTTAATTTAGTAAAGCAGACTTTTCCTTCTTCTATTGTGACCTCATTTCTTACCTACTTATTTCCTTCAGTTTATCAACCAGATTTGGAACTGTGGCCGTTCCTAATATCCTCCTTTTCCAAGGAGCCAAACCCATGGCCAGATTTAATCATACAGACCGAACCCTGGAAATGCTGAAAGCATTCATTTTTAATCAGACAGGTATGTAGGCTAAACTTGATGCAGAACTATGAAGGTCAGGATCAGGTATAGCCTCAAACTGACTTCTCTCTTTTTTTAAGAGGCTATATTAGGGCCTCCTAGAGCCTTCCTGCTGCCAGGAACAGAGCCTTAGGAAGTTCCTATTCAGTCACTATAGCACTGAGTGGAATTTCAGGACAAGGTAGAAGCAAACAGCCCAGTTATCAAAAGCTGTTTTGGTGGAAAGTGGGGGAGGGTGCTTGGAGCTCAGGCAGAGAGTGTAAGTAGGAGGATCAAGCACTTCCCCACTCCTGAAGTCCTGGATTATTCGGGAATAGTTCTGGACAGATATTAGTACTACCCTTATCTCCACATTCCAGGAGGGGAAAGGATCAGACTCCTATGTCCCATTGCTGTTGGCTAGGCAACAGGTGGGGGACATGGCAGCCTTAGTTCTTATGTTGGTGTGGACATAGGAGCAGAGGGAGCCCTGAATAGTTTTCCTGGGAATCAGCTGTCCAGGCTCTGATCTCCATGGGCTGAGTTTACCCAGCTCCCCTCTCTCTTCCAACAGCATAATTAGCCTTATGAGAGTAGAAGAAAGAACATGCACTAGTATTGTGACAGATTAATGGAAGAGACTGCTAAATCGTTATTAGAGCAGGATTACCTTTACTGTTGTTGTAGATTCCCTGACTGGTACTTCTACCAAAGATTACACTGGGAATGGGGAGAATAAAACTCTTCTAATGACACAGTACTAAGAAAATATGTATTAAGATACTTTGACAGTTTGAAAATGGAAAACTGACTTTTA